AATTTGGAAAGCCTTACATTTTTCTCTACTCTAGTCACCGACAAAACATCATTCGCCCGACAGCAATTCTGAAGCTCAATAAATGCAATATCAATAGACCTTACAGAGGAGCTTGAAAACTATCAAGAAAGCCAGCATGAACACCAGGGGCAATACCAGAGTAAGCAAGTGGTCAGGTAAGAGAACCACCCAGTTACACAGAGCGATCTTTGTCAGCTGGATCCAGTGAGCATGGGCCAACCTATTCTTTGCTCTTCAAGCCCTAACTCTCCATCCCAACTCTCCCTCCCTCCTTCCCCTCTCTCCTGCTTTCCTAGGCAGTTATTACCTCCCAGTGCATGCCCTCTGTGCTCCTAGGCACCCCCAAAAGTCCTCCATCAGATCCGCAAGGTCAACCTAATTTTATACGCAAGCCATTGTCCCATTCACCATTTCACCTTGTTGATTTTGCCTTATTAGGACAAAAGCAAATGGTGAGTTCACCTGCAGATGTCTTGCTGCAGATCGAAATCCTCCCAGTCCAGGGAGCTCTCAGCAAGAACACCTTAGTCTTTCTTTCCATCGGCCATTTGTCCACGGCCACCATGTGTAATGCCTGACCTGCTCTGGTTGTGGGTTTCATTCAACAATATTTGAAACAATTCTCAGTCTTTACACTAAGGTAACAGCAAGCATCAACACCTCATAGTAGGTTGACCTTAAGTCTTTTTGTTGTAACTGGACAATTTCCAACCAGAGAAAGGAAACCCATGGTGTCCTCTCTTCTACAAAGTCCTCACGACACTCATGCCTCTGCCTGTATAAACCAACATTTCTTCATTCATAAAACATCACTATGTTACATGGGTCCTGTGTTAGGAGTGGTGGAGATGACAGTCAGGGTAGGCAGGGGCTCAGTCCCTGGAAGAGGACAAGGCAGCCAGGGAGGCCCTCCAAGGCCAGCTTCCCACAGCAGAGTCGTCCCACCCAAACTGAGCATACCCTGGTGTCTTTCCAGTGTTTCTCTATGACAGGTGGAATGCCAGCAAGGATCTTTCAAGACGATTTACATGTGCATTGCCCTTCCCTGGGAGGCAGGCTACTCCCTGTGGAGTAGCATCACAGAAGCCAGAAGGAAAGAAGGGAAATCAAGGAACGGTCCTTGGCATACCAGACACGATAGTCAGGCACCACCGTCAACAGTAAAACCCTGTCGTGCTAACCCCCTTCCAAGGATTTTATAGACTGTGAAAGGTCACCCCTGACCTAACTTACAGGGGGATGTTAAAGAGGCCGCCTCACCCTCCTGTGAACTGCTTTTCCCTTCTCCAGCCACTAGAGTATGAAAGAAACTAATTCCCAGTCATAATCCCAACAAATCACCAGGCTCCAATTCAGATATTTACTGTGGTGATGTGGATTTCGGCAAAATTTTTCTAGAGTGAGGGATGGATTTTAGAATACATGGAGAGAAAACAGTCAAGATTCATGCTTAATCTGGGAGGCTCTCTGCTCACTTTACGACACCCCTGGCCTCAGAACAAGCTGACGCCCCCCGGTCATCACCTGCATACCTGTGTGGCTGCGGATGTGAACCCTCAACGTCCCACTGCTGGCGAATTTCTGACCGCAATATGGACAAATTTTCTCCTTTTCTCCTGTATGTGTCTAAATGGAAAAGCATATGAGGAGTTGAGAACAAAGAATCAGGTAAACATGATTAAATGAACCTGACAATAGCAAATCTTTTTATCCCAGGGTTATATTGCATTAAAATGACTTAATATTTTAAAGAACTTATGGTATGTGGGCCTCCCTGCTGGCACAAGGGCAGAGTCTCACCAGCCACTACAGCAGGAGTTCGATCCCCGGCCAGGGAACTGACCCACATGGCACAGCAGACCTCTCCTGACCCACCCACTGCTCCCCTCAGTAGATTCACCTTACCAGCACCTGGCAGGTATTTAACTTCCCATCTCACTACAAGTCTCCCCCCACCCTTTTTTTTTTATTACAAAAGTTTATTTTTACATCATTTTGTACACTTTTTTTTTCCATCTCAATTGTAATCCCCGCGGGTTTCCCATCACCAAATCACCCATGTGCCACCACCATAGTCCCGTGCATTTCCCTCCCTTCCCCCCCCCTTTTTTGGATCCCATTCCCCACTCCACCCCCACAGAATGTCTCTGGTATATGGCTGTTCATTATTTTTGTTATTTTCTCGCCTGGTCCATTATACTCCTGCTATGAGTGAAACTATCCGGTATTTTTCTTTCTCTTTCTGGCTTATCTCACTAAGCATGATCTTTTCCAGCTCCATCCAAGTTGCTGCAGAAGACATGTGTTTCTCTTTTTTGGTTGCTGAGTAATATTCCATTGTGTATATGTACCACGTCTTTTTGATCCAGTCATCTACTTTTGGGCATTTGGGCTGCTTCCATGTTTTTCCAATTGTAAATAAAGCAGCAATAAACATGCCCCTCCCCCATTTTTTTTAAGGATTTATCAATTTTTGTAGAAGAGAACTGGGATGTAGGCCAGAGGTATGGGGGTGAGAGGATTTCCCAGAGAACAACGGGAACTGCCGAGCGGGCAGTGGGTGATATAGGAGAGGTCTGATGCGCCATATGGGTCAGCTCCCTGGCAGGGGACTGAACTCAGACCATCCTAATGGGGGTGCTGAGATTTAACCTCTAGGCCACCAGGGAGTCCCCCTCACTACAAATTTTTAAACAGAACAGTTAACACATACTTTACATCTCAAAAGCTCTGCTCTCATGGTGCCCACAGGGTCCAATTTCAAGTAAACAGTCTAACCTGAATACCTACAGGAACTTCATTCTCATCCCCTAACAGGAGGAGCAAAATATGGCAATTCAAAATTGCATGTAGTATCACACCAGCTTGTTCCAAACAAGTAACTCCCACTTTATTTGTGAGACTTTTATAAAA